TGTAGAATTTCTTTTAATCGAATCCTTTCGTCGGTATTTTGTATGTTATTGGAAAATGAATAGTTTTTGTTTTATAAACTCAAATATTCAAATCATTGCTAAACATTACGAATTTATCAGAAAACACCAATTAAGTGATATTTATCGATAATTTATTATTTTTGCTAAATTTGACAAAACGTTTTAGAATTTTAGAATATAATACATCATATTATGTTATATCTAGTGCATGCCAAAAAAATAATCTGTTTAAATATTAATAGCCTACATTGGCATTTAATGAATATATAATAATATTGTATTATTGAACCTACCTATTCCAAAATTAATTTACTGTCATCATGATGTATTGAAGTGAATTGATCCTTTTTAATTTATTTGTCGAAAAAGCATCAGCTGAAAACTACTTATGTGCTGTTCGTGGCATAATTTAATTTACTGGAAATTTATCGAAGAACGTTTATTTTTGGCTGTCTAATTTATTTTTTTGGTAAATATATTTTTTAATTCATATCATAAAAACATTTGGTTTTTGCAGTGAAGGAAAAATATTTTACTAAAAAAAAAAGTGAAATGAAATGAAATAAACCACAAATTTCATAACTGTTTAATGTTTATAATGATTTTATTGCATGTAATATATTATAATGATAATATTATGTACTATGAATTATGATAAAATGTGTATAAAAGCTTAAAATAATTAAAAACAAATATCATTCGTTCGTAAACATCGGAGTTAAAAATGGAAACTCCGTACAAACAATCACAAATTAAACGACTTTAAATTTTAAAATACATTTGTCCGCGCCACTATAACACTCAACAAGATGCACAAAGAACTGCGTGATTTAGTAATGAATGAATAAATAAATATTCATATTCATACTATTATTATTATAGGGTATGCTGTTTTCAGAAAATTATTTTAAGAGAACAATAGTTTCCGGTAAACGAACATGACCGTATCGCGTATTCTAACATGCACACTTGGCAATTCCCACAATAAACAACGTCGACCATTATTGGGATATCCTTTGTCAGGCCTTCGGCGTTACATTGGGTTCCTATAATATTGTTTTTAAAACCGATATTGTATTATTTTTGCCGATGGCCACGGGACTGCTAAAGACGGTTTTTGTTTTTAATGATAACAAACGTCGACAATATAACCGTCCGTGACGTTTATACTGTAATAATGATACTGATTTACCGACCATAGTAGGTTGAGTCAGGAATGAGGTAGTTACGTTGGGTAAAGGATTTTTTTTTTAAAGTAATTAATAATTATTATTTTTAAGTTATTTTGAAAATATACTAGCTGAATTTGTGCACTTCGTAGCCCGTTAAAAGTCCTACTACTTAAATATCTCAAACTGAGTGTTAAATTCGTTACCTGTGATTATGTATGCTAGCAGTATATTTTTATACATATAGATAGATAACGGTTAGAATACACTAAGTAATAATCTTACAACGATATTCAATATAGTTTATCATTATGTAAATGTATTCGTTTATCGATAAAAGTCTGAAAATTCAAATATTAAAGTGAATGATATTTAGGTCTGGCACTTTTTAACTTAGCCTATCTTCTACACATAGGTCTAATATATCTCTGTGGCAAATTTTGTCGCAACCGGTCCAGGACTTGGAATAGTATGTAATTCTGGAAATTTTACTTTTCCACCAGCACAGTTCATACCTGAAGCCTCATCCTATGATTTGAATGCTCTACAATATATGCATTATTTATCTACTTATCTTAGATGAATACTATAATTATAATTATACTAAATTTCGTCGCAAATGGTCCACCAATCGGAATTAGAATGCTTTTATGCATAAATCCAGACTGGGTTGTCAGAAGTAGGATTCTTAACAGGCTACGAAGTACACGTGCTCGGCTCGTATAAGTATAATTTATTTAGATAATAGATCTATATATTATACAGATCTATTTGTCACACATTCCTAAACATCTAGACCGATTGTGACAGAATTTGATACAGAGATATATTAGACCTATGGGTAGAAGATATGATAAGTTAAAAAGTGTTAGGCCTAAATATCATTCAATTGAATATTTGAATTGTCAGACTATCTCGATAATACGAATAAAATAAAATTACATACCTAATGATAAACTAAAATGAATATCGTTTTGAAATTATTACTTAATATATTTTAACCGTTTTTATATGTATAAAAATATACAGCTTGCATAAACACAGGAAACGAATTTAACGGTATCCGGATATTCCCCCCCAGAAATTTCCCCCGGCTGTTTTCGGCGTAGTAGGACATTTTCCCTCCGATAAATTTTTAGATACGGACATTTTCCCCCTGTTTTATTTTTTATTTTTAATTATTTACCTCATAGTTCGGTTTTAGCGAATTTTTTGAAGTCATTGTTCTAAGTGTCACCGAAAACTCTCGTAGTTCGTGCATTTTTCAATTTGTGTAGTTTACACTGAGCTTTCGTTTTGTACTTCATGCGATGTCTGCCTGAGCAACTCTTTAAGGAAGCGTTGGACCGTTTTGTTTCGGTCCTCTTTTTCTTTTCTTTTTCTTTTCTTTATGTTTGTTGTGTACTATTCGTTTGTTTGGTGTTTTTGTAACGTTCTCTTCCTCCTGTAATCAAGCTATTTCGAGCATCTTTTTTTTTGTCATCGACATCTTGTGTACAAGTGGTACAACAGTGTTTTTGTGAATTGGCTATCAGGCTTCTAGGCTTTGCATTTTCTTATTTGTTTACCTCAGCTTTTGGGTGGTTATAAATTGTACCTACACCCAACCTGAATTCGCAATTTTCTTCTTGTTCGTACCGTGAATGCAGAATACTATAGTCATATTCATCCGTTTGTTCTGTTTTATTCGACAAATACGATTAGCGGTGTTATTGTGTGTGTTTCTACAGGGTCAACTCTGTATATTTTTTTTATGTTTAAAAATTGTATAATTACAGACCCTGGAACCACTTTGAATTTTAGTATTATTTACAAATATTATTTTTTTAGTAGGCCGACGGGCTAAATAAATAATTATTATGATATTATATTTTTCGAGATATTTTCATATTGTTAGGTACACCAAACTGGCAATTATAATATGATATATTTTCATACTGTCACGCCTAACTGGTACTTATCATTTATGCAATTTTAAAGCTAACTAAACTATACTATAATAAGTCACTAACTACTGAAAATTATAGAATATTAATATTCTGGTGCTTTTTAGATTCTGAGCGGAGCGAGGAATGCATTGATTTTATCACGATGTATGCGTGTTTTAATAAGTAATAATTTTGTATACTTGAATACAATAATATTTTATTTTTATTTTTTATTTCATTGTGATTTGGTGACTGGAAACCATATAAATTAACTATCTTACATCCAGCTGATATAATATCAAACCTGACCTTGAAATGTTCATTAAACAAAAAAGTTAAGTTTATTCGCTTACAATTGAACTATTACTATACTATACTATTATTTACCTATTTTTTTTTTTATTATAAAAGCTACCAATATAAAATTATTATAGCTTAACAATTATTTACCATCACGTTTTCAGACAGTAAAATTGCTTCGATTTTGAACTTCAGTACCTAGTTCGATTAGAAAGTGAATCTAGTTGGTATTTTCAAAAGTAAAAAATTAAAAAAAATTTACGCACAATCAATTTTCGACAAAACCGATTTTGGTTTCTGATGTAAATTTAAAACAAATGACCATAGCTACATGCAATTTTCACCGAATGTTTATGTAAGTATATTCTATCCACCATGCAATTTTCAAAACATTTTGACTTAAGTTGAACTATTTCTAGGCATATTTATTTTTCGATCATTATTAGATTTTTTTTAAATTAATATCGATAAAAATTTATTTGTTGAAAGAAAAGCTTGAAAATTTAATAAAAGGCTCCTAACATATTGTACAATATAGCAGTTGAAAAATAAAATAAATACATAGTCACAATTTTTTATTATAAGATTTTGAAATTTGAATTTTGACAAAATACGAAAAATCTCGAAAATTGGCAAATTATTTTAAGCTAGAAGTTTATAAAAAGTCTTAGATTTGAAATTTAATAAAAGATTTCTTACAAGTTTATCAAAGTTTATCATAAAATAAATATCCACCAGTCAAATTAAGTTTTTATAAGTGTTTGAAATTTAAATTTTTACAGCATTGGATTTTCACTAGATTTCTCATTTAGCGATTTTCTTATTTTGGTGTAGCTCTAAAATGACCTCAGATACTTGAAAATTTCACTGAATGTTTATATAGGCATTTACTATATTTGATATAATTTTCAAAATATTTTGATTAGTTTTGAGCTGTTTACTGAAATTTTAATTTTTCAACTTTTTTAGTTTTTTTTTTCTATTAATGGCAATACAATTTTATTAGTCGGGTCAAAAAGCTTCAAAATTTAATGTAAGGCTTCCAACTTTAAAGTTCAAATTTTTACTTAATACATAAAATAAAAATATAGAATATGTTCAAATTATCTTAGATAGAAATTCATAAAAATTTTTCTCCTTACATATAAGGTTTGAAAATTTTATTTAAGATTCCTTATAAGTTTGTCTATCTTTATATATATATAAAAAAAAAAACAAAAAAAAAAAAATGTCCACCGGAAAGTCAAATATTTTAATAAGTAATAATACAGATAAATCGTTTCCGCTCAAAATCATTTTTCGTATACAATGATATAATGCCATTGAATTCAAATTTAAATCCATTCATTACAGTAACCCACTTGTAACCTTTTGTACAGCAGAGCGATATCCACTTTCCCACTTTTCTGTTCTACAATTTGTGTAGAATGTCGTTAAGAAGTGTTATTGCCTAACGTCCTGCGTTTTGTCGTGAAGGAAGCCTTAATTTTACAAAACTATTTGGTATTTTTGTTAAGAGCTGATCGCGACAATAATAGTAACGATAATATTATACAGAACAGAATACGTTTTGTAGACTTACCGATCGTGGTGAGTATGGACAGGCAGTACAGAAATGACGTGGCCATGTTCCATTCGAAGGTGCTGTCCACTGAGTCACCTCCGTGGTCGACGATGAAACCTCCGCCGCCGCTACCGGTGTGATAGCTGACCGCGGCCGATTCGATTTCCATCTGCTGCGTGAGGCGGCGTATCAGGTCTTCCTGGAACCGGTTCAGTTCTTGTGCGGCCAGGCGGGTCCAGTTCTCCCGGTACAGTATGTTCAAGTTGACCGTGATCTCCCATATGGTCTCCACGGTCCGGGCGCGACTCTCTTCACCCGCGGCAGCTGCGGCCAGCCAGGCGGCCGTCARGTTCTGCTGTTGGGCAGGCATCAAGCCGGCCAGTCGGACGGAACTGCCACCTCCACTGCCGCTGTCGTCCACGTCCACGGCGTCCGCGTCCACATCACCCTCGATGCTAAGGAATATCAGCGCGCCGGCGAACGTGTACGACACCAGCAGGGCGCACACGAACGCGTTTCGCAGGCAGCTCTTGTAGCACTTGCGTTTGGCGTGGGCTACGCGGGCCCGTTCTACGCTGTCGTCGTCGCTGTCACAACAAAAACACCCTTGACTGTCGTCCACCACCGTCGTCACGCCGATCGCTGACGACGACGAAGCGGACAGTGGGCGACCGTCGTACGACGAAGCGTAACCACCGATCGTCGCGCCGGCCACACCGTAGTTGTAAACGGCCGCCGCCGCGGCCACCGGTTGCGAACAGCACGACGGCGTCCGGTCCATGGCGATGCAGCAGCAGCAGTCGCCGCCGCTGCCACCGCCGTCGCCTTACGCGATTCGGCCGTCAGTCRCCCRATGTGACCGCGCCGATGGCGACATTGCAGACAAAGGTTCCGCTGAACATTGGTTCAGCCCGAAAAAGTCGACCGAACGTCTCATCGATTCTGTAACAATAAATATAAATTGTMGTATTTACCGTATTTACTGTATATTATAATTATTATTGTCGTTATTGATCTAAAATTGAAAAGTTTTAAATATTACTAAAAAAATTCAGATATATAAACGCTTTGAAAATATTATCATGATTCTCAATTGTTTTAGATATGTTATCTACATCGGCTAGCCATGGGCGTCCCCAGACATTTTTCTAGGGGGGG